TCTCTATGTAGTGAAATGGATGGGGAGGCCTCTGTAGAAGACTGTGTATGAAATAACTCATGGTACTGAGCTGGCAGATGAGAAGTTTTAATTTTTTAACCAAAAACAAGTGGGTATTCAAGGATTAAAGAAGAGGGAAAGGGAAAATTAAAGCTAATTCTCTCCTCCTAACTCATTTCCCTTTTCATATACAAAGTGTTGCACCAAGCAATGAGTAGGTGCAGGGAACAAGGCTAAGTGGAAAAGAAGGCTGGCTTTGATGCAGCTGGGAAGAACGTGCAGGTGATAGGACATGATCCTGAAAGACTGAAAAAAGCTTTTGCACCTAACATGAGGGTCAGATTTTTGTAATGACTCTCTTCTCTGATGTCTTTTGCTTCTTCCTCTAGAGCGTTTCTGCCATAACATGAGGTGCTTTGCAGTTCTAAGTTGTAGATCTGAGCTTGTGGACAACTTCTAAGTCACATTGTGGCCCTTATTGCCTGTCACCTGTGTATTATGGCTTTTTTGAAAACTTCCAGGTCTTGTTTCCCCTAAGGTACAGTTTCAAGGGACTTTTAGAAAGATACCTAAACACTGAAATAAAATGTATGTAATGAGTGCATCTGACTGTTGTGAAACCAGGTGACCAGTGAAGCTAGTGACTGCTGTGTCATTTTTTCCCCCATACAGTCCTGTTTATTCAGGGATCACCTGCCATCTTTCATGATGCCATAAAAAAGCTCCCACCATTTTTTAGGAGGACACATCTTTTATCTCTTGTCCCCCCATCTTCCAACAAGAATCAAATTACGTAATAGAATCTTGATTGACACTGCCTCTAGAATGAAAACTTGCTTCATTGTTTTTTATTCCTTTGTGTAAAGGGAAAGATTTTGGTTTTACTTTGTTTGTGTTTGTTGTTTTTTTTTTTTTCTGGAGGCATTCCAGCAGTATGAAGTTAAATTCCCTAATTACTTTGTAGACAAAATTCTCATTATAATTGTTTGGAATTGTGACCAAAACCAAGACTAAAAGATTTAGCCTTTGAGTAGCTTTTTAGCAGTATTTGTTGAGGATTATAGCAGTCAGTGGAATTGCTCCACATTTATTACTGTGAAGGAGCAAAACTCAAACAACTGGCCTTAAAACCAGCTTTCATTTCAGCTTTGCACACGAATTAGAAGAGCTAAGTGGGCTCAAGTAACAAACAGCTTTGGGATGCACTGGTGTTATCTGGGGCAGTTTCTGCAGGACCCCTGGACCTGTCACCCCTCCCAGAGGTGCCTGTGTCCCCTCTCAGGGAGGGCATGGCAGGGCCACCTGCCTTGGCTTTCAGGAGAAAGCACCCACGGAAGTCTGTTTCTCTCCAAGATGGTAGAAAAATGCCAACCACAAGCTTCATGTTTTATAATCCTGTTAGGTCCACATAGATATTTTGGGAATATAATGATTTCCTTGCTGTGAAATATTACTGATGTGATACAGGCATTTGTTGTCCTTAAGAAGTGACATGAGACAATTTGTAACTGCTGCAGATACCAACAGAGTAATTGCCAGTGCTTTAAATGGAAAAGGGAAGGTAGAATATTTTCAAGACAAAACTTGAATACCAAGCTTGTAACAACCTAATATTTTGGTCCTGCTTGTGGAAGAGTAAACAAAGAAATAGCAATGTAATTTACTTTTATTAGACAAGTTATTTAAAAGATGTTAGACTGCTTTTGTCTAGCTGTTAAGGTGGTTGTGGCAGACTAGTTTTCATCAAGACTGTGGGCTTTTTTAAAGGGAAGCACAGATCTTTTGCTGACAGGCATTTCTCCCAAGAGCTTGCAGTCACCTTGCAGGTGAGGTGCTCAGAGTCCCAGACAAATATAGCTAAAGTCAAGTATTAATTGAAGGAAAAAGAAGAAAACACAACCCCTCCTCCCAAAATATTTTTAAATGAATATATAAATATAAATAAACATATATGTTTATATATTTATATATATTTATAATATTATATAGATTATTATATCTATAAATTAGATATAATATATTTAAATATAGAAATATAAATATAAATAAATATTTTTTTAAAAAAAATCTTTTAGGGGTCTGTTCAGGTCTCTTCTGAAAAACCTGAAGTCACTCCAGTGACAAAATTAAAACAAAATGCATAAAACTGTTGCCATTGTGCCCCTATATCATCATCTGTGAGTAAGACAAAGCTTTTCACAGCTTTTATAACACAGCCAGGCAATTTCCTACAAATATCAGCATTCTTTGCTTAGCAAGCAAAAGGGAAATCTTCAACTGCTCTGTTCATAGCCTCTAATTTTGGCCCTGAAAAGAAGCAATGCTTTGCTGTTGTTAGTTTTCTACACTCTTGCCAGACAGGTGTGTTTCTCTGTGTAAAAAGAAAAAAAACAAACCACTAAATCAAAACCAACCAAACAAAAAAGCCCAGGATGATCTTGCTTCTTCAGTCCTGAAGAAACCATTTTGCAACTTTCAAATCATGCACTCATGGAATGGTTTGGGTCAGAAGGGACCTTAAGGATTGATGTGTTCCAACCCCCTGCCATGGGCAGGGACACCTTCCACTAGCCCAGGTTGCTCCAAGCTTCATCCAGCCTGGCCTTGGACGCTTCCAGGGATGGGACAGCCACAGCTTCTCTGGGCAACCTGTGCCAGGGCCTTACCACCTCCCAGGGTGGTATTCTTCCCAATATCCATCTAAACCTGCACTCCTTCAGCTTGAAGCCATTTCCCCTTGTCCTATCACTATCCAAATGCAGGTAAAGACATATTATCGTATACTTGTAATAATTTTTTAAAATTACAAGATTGTTATAAATTAAGCTTCTGGTTGATAATTTTGATGGTCATGCTTCCTAAACTTCCACAACAGCAGCAATAACTGCTTATGTCAAGAAGCAATATGAGAAGGCATTATATGCATTCAGTATTCTCAAAAATCCAGTTGCTGTTTCCATTCCAGACCTCCTGCAGTCTCTGGTCATACTCCTTCTGTTCCAGGGCTGATAAAGAGAAAAGCCTTTATCTCTTCAGTCCCACTCCTGATTCACACATCCCCATGTTGCCTGGCCTTTGTTGTTGTTTCCTTGCTCCATGGGCTCGAGTTTCCTGGCCTGCCACTGTTGTGTAGCTCAGCCACTAATGGCCACAGATGCTGCTCTCCAGGCCATCTCCATGAGGAGACCACAAGAAACTGGGGGGAGGCTTTTGGCAGGCTGCCACCAGGGATTTCATAGAGCTGCTGATGTGATGCTGATGCCCTTTTTGCTTCATGGAGTGACCAGTACTGGCCATGTCCCCCTTCCCCATGTGTCTCCACAGAACAGTAGGGAAGGAGGGTACTCAGATTACCTGCAGTGCAGTGTTTGATTTACTGTTTCAGTATCTGACCCAACTTTTATAGAGTGCTTCTGTGGGAGCTGTTCAGGTCTCTTCTGTGACCTTTGCCCACAACTATAAACAACTGCATGTGTCTACTTGGTCTCTCCAGGTTGAATGTTTGGCTGTGATGGAGGAGGGCTGCTGTCCAGCTTGTTTGTTGTGTGTTTGGTGGGCATTGTTTTCTGATCTGACCTTAGAAGTGTGTTTAGCCTTGTCTTGTACAGCAGTGCTGGCTCTGAAATGGTATTTGTGTGGAAAAAACCTGCTGTCTCAGTAATCATGTTCATCTGATATGTAGTAGGAAGATGTGACACAGAATCATCACATCACCTTTAGATAAGGTACTTGGTTTATATATTGTAGTACAGAGGATCATTTGGCTTTGTACTGCTGAATAAACAAAAGCCAGGCCTCAAAATGCTTTAAATGAGCTATTTAAAGAGCTTTGGGAGTTCTGTTAGCCATGGTGGGTACTTGGCCAGTGGGCAGCTTGCTCAGGGCTGGGACAAGCAGGAACAAGCTTGATCAAGTGAGCTGGTGGCCCTGTGTGTTGGTTGTGCCAGCCCAGCCCAGCCCATCCCCTCAGCAGGACAGTGAGCTTCTCTTGGTGCAGGGCTGTTTGGGCTGCACTAGCAGAGCTCTCCACACCTTCAGCACAGCTTGGACCAGGCTGTGGAGAAGTGCAGCCTCTGTAAGATCACCCTGTTGGCTTCAAGGTGGGGTTGAGGTCATGGGAAGGAGTGGTGATGTCAGAAGCCTGGTAGTGCCCTTCTCTTTTCTATTTCCTTTAGAAGCCAAGATTCCCTTTTTTTATTTTAACTGAGAATTTTGGCCATCATCCCCATACTTCCTGTTCTTCCCTTTCTTTCCCTCATCCCATCAGTGAGGTGCAGGTGGCCTGTAGGTGGACATAAGGAATTCAAGGGAATGATGGCAAAGGGAAGGCACCCTCCTACCTGAGACTAGAGAGCCTCTGGCTCTACCTGCTCCATTTTTAGGCTGCCCTTGTCTACCCATTTGATCTATTCCAACAGCTAATAAAGCTTTAAAGCCTTCCACAGGTTCTTAAAAAGCACTTAAGGTGCTTAAAAATCTGTACTTATGAGAATTGCTTTACTTTAAAAACAACAACCCAACCTACCTCGAAGGAAATTGCTTTGGAGGGCAAGGACTGTTGTATCTTCTGAGATGATTGAGTTGTATTTGGGGAACTGGGGACTTGTGCATTGCAGTTATGTTTGGGGGCAAAAGCTTGGGACAGATGTGTGGTGGATTTTTGAAGATAAATATATTGGTCATAACTATGGAGCAGACTCAAGGGAAGGGGTGGTTAATGAACTGTTAATGAAGTTGAGAACTTAGAACTGTCCTAAAGCAGTAAATGTGATGCTGCCTGATCATTTGAGCTCCATTTATTTCTTTGTGTTAAAGGCCTTTGCAGTGTAGTAATATTTTCAGAGCTTTTGTGTTAATTGAACATAACATCCAATACTGATATTTCTGATTCTTCTTCTCTATTTTTGAATATTAAAAATGGTCAATGTAATATATATGCACCTCTTATTAAATACAATCATATTAATGCTGGTTTGTATCTTTTTCTGTTTTAGAGTTGGTGCTGTATCAGCACAGAGAGCAGCAATGGGAGTGTGCAGTTTTCTGTTGAAAAGGTCTCTCAAGAGCTCATGATTTTTTTTCCATTTCTCCTCTTAACATTCCTACTGCTCCACAGACATGGCTCACCACGCAAGGCCTTCCAGATCAGTCAAAAAAGAAGAGCTGGGCAAAAGGAAAACTAACCAGGGCAAAAAGAAATCTAGCCAAGTGAGAAAGAAAACTACAAAGACTTCCACAAAAGCTGTTAGTTCTGGAAAAGGCAAAAAGCCAGCGCAAGAAAAAGATGTTAAGAAAAAACAGCAAGAAAAGAAACCAATCATGAGCTCTTCGGGGAGACTTCTCAGGAGCAGTGTAACGAGAACCTTGTCTGGAGCGTCTTGGGTGAGTTTGGAGAAAGCTGACAACATCCTCTTTCACAACCAGGATTCTTTCAACATCAATGGCTTCACAATGTCTCTCCGTAACCGACCCTTCTCCCCTAGATTGTCCCAAACTCCAGTAATTGCAAAACCCAAGAAATCTGCAGTACAAAAAAGGCTGGAAACAAAGGAAAACCATGAGCAAGGAGCCCTGGCAGGAGTAGAAGAGAAAAACGATGAAACAGGCAAAGTAGTTTTGAAACAAGATTTAACCCAAGATGAGTTGGCTGCTCTGCCAGTAGAAGGTTCTCCCTGTAGTGCAGGTGAAGGGCCTGCTCTCCCATGTGCCAGTCAGGACAAGGAGGTAGAAATACCTGGAACAAATGACTCTGTTCCAAACAGTTGGCTAACTGATGGTACAGAAGCATCAGGGGTGAAATCTAAGCATGAGGGTCTGCCCTGTGAGCAGATACCCAGTGATCTTGACATGGGTAGTTTGGCTGAAGCATTTGTTGAAGGTGCTGTGCTTGTGCTTCCATCTTTTCCTTCCAACTCCATAATCACCTCTGAATCCGAGGTGTGTGGGGAGACTCCCTTCGATGTGGTGCCCAGCAGTGAAGAACCTGACCCCGGCTCTGCTGTTACCTCAGACCTCAGCTCAGCAGGACTAGCACAAGAGTCAGTCACTCTTGCCACATCCCACATTGAAGCAGAGTTGGACCTGGTGCTACCTAGTGAAGAACAAGACCCAGATTCTGCAGCTGTTGTTACCTCTGAGTTTCACTCACAAGATTTATTAGAAGATGCAAGGTCACTTGCAGAGTCCTGCTTGAAGGCAGCCTGGGATTTAGAATCTGAGAATAGAGACATTGGTTCAAATTCCAGCTCTGTAGCTGCCACTGAATCAAATTTGCTTTTACATTTTGAAGGTGCAAGCTCACTTGCAGAATCCCCCATGAGACTGGTTGTGGATTTTGTACCCATTCCCAAAGAATTTTACTCAAATTCAGATTTGAGCTGTACGAGAGAAAAGTCAGAGTTTGACACAAAAAACATATTTACAGTATGTGAATCAGTCTCCAACACCTCTTTAAACAATATTGAAGTGGAGGACATAGAACAGCTTGTTAAATGTATCGATGCAGAGACATTGATTTTGAATTCAGGTTATGTCCCCACTTTATCTTCAGATTTAGAAAAAAGTACATTCAGTAAAATATCTGGTGAAAGCTCTGGGCAGTTCTATGAAGGTTTTGTTTCAGAGTTGCCTTCGAGGCTGGAAATCTCTGCTCTTGCCTCAGAAAAAGCCATAAATGCAGATTTGCCAGCTGACTCAAGACTGCAGCATAATGATTATTCATCACAGCTGGGAAGTGTCGGAGTGAGCCTGAATCTGGTTCAGGACAACGTGAGCAACAGCACTGAAGCAGTTGAGGCCTCAGGGCCATCCTCTCTTAAAAATCCAGCTGGTGGTTGCCCTGTTCCATACTCATCTCTGCTCCCTATGCTGGAGAAGAAGAAGCGAAGGCGCTGTGGAGTCTGCGAGCCGTGCCTGCGGAAGACGAACTGCGAGGAGTGCAGCTGCTGCAGGAAGCGCAAAACCAGCCACCGGATATGCAAGAAGAGAAAATGTGAAGAACTGAAAAAGCCGCCGCCGCCGGTCACGCTGCCCTTCCAGGTGAGCCGGGGGGAGTGGCAAATCAAGCTTTGGAGGCTTGAGGTTCATCTTCAAATTCTGCCCTGGGAAATACTGTCCCCACTGCACAGCTCTAGAGGGTTCAGGGTTACTGTTGGAGCCAACAGGTTGTACAGTAACTTCCCCTTGTCATGTGGAGAGGTGGAGGTTAGGGCGAGCTGGAGTTATTCTTGTTCCTGCTTTGTAAATCCATAGAATCAGAGGTAAGTATGGCTTTAGCTCTGTGTTCTGGATACTGGCACGTTGGCCAAAGAATGAATTAATTGGAGTGCATGAAAAGATGAGAGATTTGAGCACAAAGTGTGGGGAGGTGGGAGATTGAGGGTAGTCATAGGAGACTGAATTACTAGGGAGAGTGGTGGTATTTCAAAACACTTCAGGCTAAAAAGCAAAGGAAGGCAGGCTGTTTGCTCTTTGCTTCAGTTAAAATAATTTGCTCGTAATGACAGATTTGATGGAAATAAATTTATAAACTTCAGGACAAAACTGTAGCTGCATTTTCCCCTTTCGCATCTTTCTGCCTTTCTAATTGTCTGTTCTTCTGTTTCTCTCATTTCACTTCTCCTGCCTCTCTCCCTTTGTCTTTTACCACATGCCCCATACATACTTTCTTTTTCTGTATTTCTTACTCATTTTTCTGATCCATCAGCCTTTTATAACCCAGGTCATTACTTTTGGAACAAAGAGGAGGGGAAAAGACAGTCTGTATGCCCTTGTGATAACAGCACTGACCTTCTGAGGGATTTCAGTTCAAGATCAGGCTTTAAATCAGGTAAGTAGGGAGTTGAACATAGATTTCCCACATCCCAACTGAATTCCCTGAGCTCTGAGCTGCAGTGTTGGCCTCTGCACTGCCAGGTCCTGCTGGAAGTGTTCTGCTTCATGTGGTCCAATGCTACCTGAACCTCAGAGCGGGAGAGCTGTCTTGGGAGTTAAATCACTGGGACATTTGCCTTGGGATGTGGGAAACTGAGGTTCAAGTCTCTGCACCAGTGTGTACTGTGAGTGGAGCAGTTCACACTGGGGAGAATGCACCTGCCAAACCTTTCTCAGTAGCAATTCCATTAAAATGGTGTGTTCTTGCAGCAGGTGGGAATTCCCGTCAGCTGCGAGATCCAGGAGAGCTCCTGGTTTCACTGCTCTGGCCTGTGCTTACCAGGGTTGGCTGTTCTGGTTGTAAGGTAGGCAAGCAAAATGAAGAGTCCTACAGCTGTGAAGGGATATGGTACATTCCCCTTTGTGGGGGAAGTATATTTTAAGATATAATGTTTAGGGAAGTAGGCTTAAACAGCTTGGCTCAGAATTCATTCAAAGACTCTGTCTCAACTACTTCTAAATGCTCTTTAAAAAAAGGGGGTGGGGAGGGACAGCTGTGTGACTTTACATATTTAAACAACAAAGGTGGTAGAGACTTAGCCAGACTTTTTACAGCAAAAGAGTAGTGACATTGTCCTTTTGTATATTTAGTCAGTAGGATGGAAGAAGCTCATAGGAGAGAATTGGTGGAGTTGAGGTAGGAAGTGTTCTAAAAGCCATGTTTTAAAAAGGGGGTTGGCAGGGTTGTTGAAAGGAAGCACTCCAGTTTTTCTGTCAACCTTTGTTTTCCAGGCTAAACATACTTCTTTTCTCATTGCTCAGGCTGACCCTCTCCTTGCAGATTAGCTTTCCTCCTTCACCTTTGTCCTCTCTGGGCACTCCTTTTGCTTTCTTTATGAGAGATTCCTTGTTTTTATTCTTTTCTTTGGCAGCTTTTATTTTGATGTGCTTTTATTTTATTGGACTGGTCCCATTCTGTACAGTGCATTCAGAGCTGCACCAGAGGCCTCCTTCATTTCTCGTTAAATCTTGTATGAAGTTTCAGGGAACTGCATGGAGGAAATTAAGTATTCCTGACATTTAAGAACATGTCAGATATTTTCTTATAAAACTGTATTTGAATGAAACCTGGTGCCTTTTCAGGTATTCCTAGAAAGGAGCTTTGCCTCATTTCTGAACTCTAGAAACTGTGCTCTGAGGAAATGAGAGGCAAGTATTTCTACGATGTTACGTGAGCTCTTTAAAGATGTTGAGATCCAGGAGAAGGTGTTGGGGGATGGGAACACTCTGGCACTCTGCTCAGCAGCTGTCCTTTAGATAAGATTGCAGGGAATCCCATTGTGTTTTCCCAAACTGGTAGCAGTGGGACTTGTGTGACAGTGATGAAGGCAGCTGGGGAAAACCCAAAACTGTGGGTCTCTGTCCATGGTATAGAAAGTGAACATAAATAATTAAGAGAAATGGGTTTGGCTTCAGTGTGTTCCTTGCTCAGGAGTCATGCATCTTTCTCATGTTGGTGGAATGTGAGCATTTTTTGGAGGTGATTCACTGGGAGGAGAGTGTAGGGGATGGACATGCTCTGCGTGAGCATAGCTTAAATGTTGGTGTTTTGCCTTAAAGGGAATTATCTCTTCTCATTCGAACTAAAAAAATGCAGAAGTCCCAGTGAAGTCAGTGAGAGCTCTGCATTAAATGGTTGTATAGCCAGTGGAGGTTTTCCTTGAGAACTTACATGGATTTACACTTCTAGGGAGTAAGGCCTGGCTGGTAGAAGTTGTGCCTGTAAACTGAAGGGCATATTCCAACCCCCCTGCCCATGTGTGCACAGGCATTCCACCCTCAGAGAGTATCAGTTGTGTTTGGAGCTCCTGTTAAGTGACTGTTATTTCCATTAATTCACACATAATCCAGATGAAGATTTGAAAACTATATTGGACCTGAAAAATATCACTTAAGAATAACATCCCCATAAACCTTCAGTGATATTTTACCTTCCTGAATGTAATGGGTTTTGCAGGGATGTGACATCATGAAAGTTTGCATCAAGTATTGTGGGCTCCAGCTCCCAGCCCCTGTGTGTGGCATTACTGTTCCATGTAATGCCCTTCTTCCTGAGGGGTTTGCACTGGGGCTGTTTGGGGAGGAGTTGGTAAAGAAAAATCCTGAAATATAGGAGGGAAAACATTTTTTTTTTTTTTTGCTTATTGAAATGTTTTGAAAGAGCAGCCTAGTAAATGTAAGCAGGGGGGAGCTTTAGTTTGTGTGAGGTAATTGTTGGATTTAGTGGGACCTGTAGTCAACAAAGTGACAAAAAAGCATCAGGCCACTGAGTGTAAGTTTGCTGGGTTACCCAAGGTGTCTCAAGACATCTTCTTTAATAGCTGTAATCTGAGTAACATGGGATATTAAATAACAATAAGGGCCTGCCTGCTTGTGGGTTTTTAACATGCTGCCGAAACCCAGACATATTTAAAAAGGATGCTGCAATTCAAGTTGGTTGGGAACTTTCCAGTCAGCCATTCCTTGAATGGAAAATGCTGATTTAACAGGAAGCTTTCACTATCTGTCTCGATGCAACTGTCTTCGGGGAAAGCTTCCCAAGGTTCCAAATGAAATTCCTGCTTAAAACTTAAAAAGGGGATGAGAATTATTAGAACAGCTTGGTGGTAAGGGCTTTTTGCCTGATGCAGACTGGGGGCTTGAACTTTGGTCTCCCACATTCCATCTGTCTGCTCTTGAATTTTTTAAAGGTTTTGCTCTGCTTTGGAACACAACTAAGTGTTGAAATCCAAAAAAAAAAAAAAGAAAACAAAAAAAAGCCCCCAAACAAGCAACAAACAAAAAGCAAAATGGAATTCTCGTTTTTCAGCCAGGCCTAGCTATAATCAAGAAACTTAGACTTCGTGGTATTTATTTTACAATAGACTCTAGAAATATGGAAGCCACTTGAATTTTAAAATGAGTGCATAGAAACACTCCTGGAGTGTGGCTCTTGAGTTGAAGGGGGGAGCACCCAGCTGGGCGAGTTTGAGGTGTGTGATGAGCAGAGCTGCACAGGGGCAGGGCAGGGAGCTGCAGTAGAGCAGTTTACTCTTGTTTTACACACACACTCTGGGGGTGGAAAATAATTGACTTGTGCTGCTTTACCATTCTGTGATCCTGGGCATGGACTCTAATGCAGCGTAAATTACAGTGAGATGGATTAGTTTGGGCTCTAGTTATTTTCAGAGGCTGTATTTAACAAGTTCCCTCTTTGCTGCTCCTTACTTTCTGTGCTAGTCTTTAAAGCTTTTATGGGGAAAATTTTATTTGAAGAGGTTTCTTTCTTTCCTTGGTGTGAGGATGCATCCTAACAGGAGAGGAAAGTACTTGAGTAACAAGGAAACCTGAAATCACTCTCTAGTGCACACACTAAAGTGGGGACTAAGTCAGAATACTGGGTCTTAGGTTTCTAAGAAAACAATTCTTTTTCTGGACTGTAAAGCAACTTGAATAGCCAAAACTGCAAAGAAGAATCAGATCACTGAGTGTTCTTTTTTTATTATGCATAAGGACCCTTGCAGACTTGGGGAAAAAATTACAAATCAGTACTTTTATTTTACCTGATCCTAAATCCTATTTAATGCATCACTCTGGTGCAACAAATGAGGAGCTTAGATATGAGGTAGCATCAGACAACAGAAGTGGGCAGCAGCTTTTTCTGGACTGATCCTCTGCAGGAGGAGCTGTGTGTCCCTGCCTGGGCATTTGCACCAGTGACCGGCCAGGGAGTGCATTGCAGTTTGGCAGCAGAGGTTCAGATTGCAGTCTGGAGCTGATGAAAAGATGTTCTTATTGGGTTGGTTTGTTTGTTTTCTTTTGTTTAGTGTACAGCTGCACGGCCAGCGTTCTGGTGTAGATGTCAGCTGCAGATGGTTTCAGTGAATGCCAGGGGGCTGCAGCGTTAGATGCGCTGTGATTTGTTTGTTGTCCCTAGTTAGCCAACGTCTGTGATCCAGGAGGGCTCGGAGTGACCCCTCCGCCCTCCCTCCCTCCGTGTTAACGTGGAGCTGTGGGAAAAGAAGGGCCCTTGCCGTTTCTCTGGTGGGCATTCCCGCCGCGATGCCTCTGCAGCAGCTCGGGTCTGTCGGAGCCGTGTCTCTCCTCGGGGCCGTGCGGGCGGGCCCGGCGGCTCCCGCTGCCGGACCGGCATTGCCGCGGTTCCCGGGGCTGGGGGCAGCAGGCCGGGGTTCCTTGGCTGCGGGCTGGCCCAGGTGAGCGCCGGCTCCCCGCCCGCGGGACGCTCCGTGCGGGAGCGCTGCCGGCGGAGCCGCGGCCCGGGCGCCGCGGGCGTGCACGGCGCCGTGCGCGCGCGCGCACGGAGCCACGCGTGCGGGTGCCCGGGGGCCGTGTCCTCGCCTGACCCCGAGCCGGCGCGCTGCCCGGGGCGGGTGGCCCCGCACCGCCCGGGCCGTGCGCGGGATGGGGAGGGGGGAGCGGCCCCGGCTCCGCCTCCGCGGGCGCGGCGGGTCCGCGCCGGCTCTTGCGGGAAGCCCCTTTGTTCGCGCGCGCGGCCGCGGGGGGCGCTGCGGGGCGCGCGCTCCCGCGGGGGCCGCACGAGGCGCGCGCCGCGGCTGCGGCAGGAAGCAAAGATGGCGGGGCCGGGCCGGCGCCGTGAGGGGCAGCGCGGGGCGCCCGCGATTGTGAGGGCGCCGCGGGGGCGGCGGACGGGCCGCCGGAGCCGCCGCCGGCCCGCGCGGGGGCCGCGTGTAAAGCACTCCGGGTACTGCGGAAATACCGCTGTTCCTTAATAAAACAGTCGGAGGTGTCTTGCCTGCCTTTGTGACCACAACTTATGTTCTGCAATTTGATGTTTTTTTAGGTTCTAACAGAAAACAAAAGGCCTCAGAGGAGGAAGCAAAGAGTTTTAAAGGTAACCGATGATTGCTTTGATATTTATCCCCTCCCGTTTTGAGCAGCATTTTCGTGTCATACAGCCCAGGAAGCCCAAGGGTTAAAGGCTGGGTAGCGGCGCTTTCCAGCTATTCAGCAGATTAGCTAATTTTAAAAGCACAGAACATGTCCTTTCGCTCCTCTCTCTCTCTCCAGCATGTTGTAGACATATTTGAACCTTTCTGCACAAGTCTGCCTACCAAAAGTTTGCTTTCCATCGCAACAAAGGTTCCCTTTAATTTTCTGTTTCTAGTTTCATAATTCCAAAGGTAACAGGCAAATGTTTTTAGCATACAGGTTTTATGGCATCTGAAATTTTATGTGAGAAGTCAATGTTATAATGCAAGCCAAGTTAACAAAAGTGGAATTTTTATGCTTACTTTACTGTAGCTTTGATTTCCTTTCTTCCATTAAACTTTAGAACACCTCAGCTGAAACTGAAAATTCTGTGTACTTACAACAACCTCCGGTTTCACATGGTAACATGTTCCTTCCACACTCTTTTAAGATGGTTATCCTTCATGATAACAAAAGACTGGTGTTTCAAATGGAAATGTCTTAGTTTTTATAACAAAACACAGACTTGCTACACTCATGGCTAATTTTTTTTAAAAAGAAGTAACAGGTAGCACATCAATACTGCATCTTTCAGTTAATCTTTAGAATATTTTGAATAGAAATAACTGTTAATTGTGTTTTTGCAAATAACATGCTGGAGGATGGGTGGTGCAAGTAAGATGGATGGTATGTGTAAGATGAAGGTAAGGAAAATGAGAAAAAATATATGTTAAAGTTTGCTTTAGTCTCTTTTACCAGCTAAATGTAATATAGTTTAGTGTTGTCCTAGTACACTAAAATTTCCAAAGTTACTGGACATAGTGAATTTGATAAATGCTGAATGGTCTGCAGTGTAATTTTACTTGAAAACGTTCCAATATCTTACTAGTTTTGTTGTCACTTTTACGTGTGACAGAAACTTTGGTAAGGCAAACCAAAGTTAAGATGAAGTGAGGAGCAAATAACCTTATTTGACTTGCATGTATGCCCAACCTCAAGGGCGTCTGTCTCTTCATGTGGGAATAGTAGTGCAAACCACCTACCTGTATGCTGATAGTAACTGTGGTTGTACAACACTAGCAAGTGCTTTCTGTTCTTGCATTAAGTACATTAATCCATTAAAATGTGAGTGTTTTCATTATGTTGTGGGTATGCTTTTAATTACTGCCTCTCTTGTCAGATAGTACGTAGGTGTAGCTCAAACTTGGAGCATTTGCTCCTTCTGTTTTGTGCAAGGATAGCAGGATGCAAAAGGAGGGTTGTTTGTAAACGAGCTGTTCAGTTTGTAGCGTGTTGGTGTGACAGGTGTGCTGTCAAAGGGTGCAGAACGTGTTTGTTTTGGTCACAGCCACACAGGTGTGTTGGGTGTCTCTCTGCAGTTGGGGTTCATAGCTGGGTCTTGAGGTTTTCCTCTGGACTCGATCTTACCACTGTTTGGGATTTGCTGGCCCGGCAGGTTGCTATGTAATATGATACTGCCATTCCTCTCCTTTCCAGAAAGCCTTCTGAAGAGTTTTTTCCCCTCTTGCTCTTGAGTGGAAAGGCTTGGCTGGTTCTGGGTGTGTGCATAGTATCCATGTCAGCCATTGGACTTGGCTTTATTTCTGGTTTGACTTTTCCTTTGCTGAACTGATTCTGCAGTATTTCCTCTTTGGTTTAGGTGCTGTTCTTTGTGTTTGCCAGTATTTGTCTTTGTTTGGTGATGCTGAAGAGTATTTCCTAAGAGTTTGTTCACTTGCATCCACTGAACGGGGCCCGGTACCTCTCGAGGCGTCTCGCTGGATTGGGGTTGGTGGGGTTGCCCTTTGTTTTTGGAGTGGAGGAGGGAGTCTGGGCATCTTAAGTTACATTACAGCTCTGACAGCTGCAGTGAACTTGAAGAAAAGCTGCATAACTTGCAGAATTCTTTACTGGGGCGTTTTTAAAAATGTGACATTTTGGTCTGTGACTCTAACCTGGCTTCTGTCCTTGGTGGGACTGCCATGTGAAGGGGTCTTGTCTTACCTGTTGAATTATAACTTAAGTGTTTGAGTTAATGATTGTAGTGATTGAGGGCATCTGACCAGTGATGCTTTCAAAATTTCAACACAATATCCTTTTTTTTCTTTGTATTTTCTTCAAGTAGTGTTCTTAACTTTCTTAAAGGAGGAGTTTGTAGTATTTTCTTCCAGTAATACATGTAGTTAGTATTTTTTCTAATCTTCTTAAGTTTTGATAGAGACATATTTATTTACTTGGAGGGCTCATGTTCTTTCTAATTGTGCTCATGTTCTTTCTAATATCCACAAATTCTGTACAGGCTCAAAATAAGCAATGGTTTCCTGTTGAAAATGGGTTGAACACATAAAGAAGACTAAAAGTGATATATACTATTATGCTGTATCTTTTGTTTACTATTTACACTTGTGTTTTAATGCTCTTTTCTGGTTATTGGAGGAATCACTTAGGAAATTCTTCCATGCCATAAATACTGCATTAATTCTCCATGTTTATTTTGAAAGAACGTGTGAAATATTCATCACTTCTAGCAAGCAAGTGCTCATTAAAGAAAGTCTTTGTGAGCTCATAGTAATGGATATGAAGGAAGGAATATACTTAGTTTTCCTTGGGGTTTATATTGTGTTTTTTCAGATGCTTATTTAATTTTATTCCTGGTAATTGAAAATCTATATGGAAGGGATTCATATCTAAAAATTCATTTGCCTGCATTTCCAAAGGGTTCTTGTACCCCCTGCTTCACTTACCATCTTTCTTTTTGCCCCTTCCTGGTGTCCTGGCTCAGTTTGGGCAGGGCAGGGCACCTCCCCTTAGCGGTGAGGAAGTGCTTGCAGTCACTTGCAAGTTCATCAAGCAGAGCTCAGAGGGCTGGGACAGGTGCCTTTGGCATCACCTTGTCAGGGAATCTACACTGAGCACGAGTGGCACCAGTGAGGAAACCTCCCCCAGATCAGGAGGCAGGGAAATACAGCCCGGGGTCTTTCCACAGCAGTCTGGGCAGCCAAGGCTGCCTTTGGGATGGCTGTGGGTGTTTGCTGCCCTGATGGAGATCTAAAAAAGAAAAAGTAAGAAGAAAAAAAGGGAGGAAAACAGAAGGGAAGAGACTGTGGGAGAGATCCAGAATTATATATGCAGTGCTAAGTGAGTTTTGTGACTGCAGGCACAGTCTTTGTTCTCTGCCTGCCTCTGTTTATGCATAAACACTGCAGTGGTGACTGAGGGGCCAGGAGAGTGCAATGATGCTCAGGCTCCATAAAATTCCTGCACTTCAAGATGAGCCAAAAGGCAGAGATGACTCAGTATCTAGAACTTTTGGATTGTTTATAAACATCATATTAAGATCAGTAAAAGTTAAACTTCCATCAAAGCTGCAAATAGCTGCTTGAGCACCCTCTTAATTTTTCTCCTCCACGCATAAAAAGCATAGTTTTGCCTGTAAAAAACCAACTTTAAAATAAAGCTGACTTGGCAGACCTGCTGTTGCCCTTTTTATGATGCACTTTAAGTTTTGGTGCTTAAAGAAACTAAAATTACACCTTTTTTTGTCAAGGTCATATATGTGTTAACAAGGTTTAGGAGAGTAACTGCTAGAGTTCATGGTAATGCTTTGAGTGAGCAAGAATTGAACTGATTTTGAACATTTATTCTAAATTATAGTGTATGTTTTTAGTGCAGAATATCTGCCAAAATATTTAGCTGGAAGAAATTAAAGTTTATTACTTTTTTCCCCTTTAAACTGAGATGAGCAAGTCAATGAATGGAATTGCACTGCTGTGGAATTTTAGAGGGGAAGAAGACAGAATGGTGCAATACACATTTGAACGGATGTTGACCATATTTGTTATGGTTTTTTAGAAGAGATATTATCATCTTGGAGCACGTTCCTTCAGTAAATACCAATTAAAATTGCTTTGATTACTGGTTGGAAGTGTCTGCCTATTTCGTACATGTCTTTCTGCTCCCACTTTTTGAATAAGGAGAGCTTACTTTTGGCATTGGAGGGTCCTGCAAAAATTAGTAAATTTTATTTTTAACAGTAAGATAAATAACTTTGCTGTTACCTAGCTTTTTTTTAAACTAAGTTATAATTTTTTGAAAGAAATGTTCTTATTTTGACCTTTTTCAAGCTGGGTCTGTGCCTGTCTAAGTGGGATTCAATTTTTTTGCTCATGTGAACGTGTGGAGCACTTGCATGCTGTTTGTACAGTTCTGCTGGAGCTACTCATATGTCTGTAGATGTGTTTTGAACAGAGTTCTAACAAAAAGCCTTTGTGAGTGGTCTGTAAATTATTAATCTTACTCTAGTAATTTTCTATCCTTAATTTTTCCTGCCAGTTTCTGGTGCAGTTGAAGCCCATTCCTTGTGGACTTTTGCTGTGGTGCACAGTAATGCTGTCCTTCCCTGTTCCTGCCCAGCTCCCTTGCTCCAGTGCTGCTCCCTCTCCCATCCACCTCCTCCTCACAGCCCTCTGCTGCTCTTTGCCCCACAGCTCCCCAGAATGCTGAGGGGAGAAAGGGACACTGTCCCCTGAGAGGGGGACAGGGAGGAGTAAGGGTTTGTGGTTTAGCTCTCTGTTGCTGTGGCAGAGCAGCTGTGAGGATGGTGCCACTCCTCAGGGAACGGTGGGGCAGAGGAGTGTTGGGAAAGGCCAGGCTGCACCTCGTGATTACAGTGCTTTTAGAGGGGTTTGCACACTTTGAATGGCTGTTTATTTGTAGATCTTGATTTTGATGGCGTGTTTGAGTGCGGTGCTGGGCCTTCCACCTTGTTGTATTTTAGAGGTGGAGCTTCTTAAAAAGGTAGAAAATGTGTTTGTGATCCAAAATGTCATTAAATATCCACTAAACACAACATAGATTGTGGGAAGGATGGAAAACGTACATGTGGAGATGAAGGTCTGTTGTGTAGGTATATTGATACATTAT